TTCATTTCATTTTATTTTATAGTATTTATACAGGTTAAAGGTTCATACATATATATGTTCTTCAACCTGACCTGTTTAAAATATTAAAATAAGCACTAATACAAAAGGAATTTATTAACCGAACCTAATTTACAATTTTATATAAAAGTAAGGCTATAGAAAGGGAACGTAGAGATGAAATAAAAGTTATCCCCGACTATAGCTGTTCTTTGAAGGTTTTCAGGGAGGGGGCCAATTTAGTAGCTTTTTCTAGACTGTTCCACAGTTTTGGACCGCGAAAAGAAAAAGCCTTTTGGCCATTTATCGTTTTTAGCAGCGGTATTATGAGATCAGTTTCTGATGAACGCAGAAACCGTTCTCTATCGTCCGAACATTTTTCGAATAATTTTCTCAAGTAGTCTGGTGCAAGCAAATTTAAAGATTTGTAAGTTAGTGTGGCTGATAGTTGGCCATTAACAACAATCCTGATAGTTGGCCAGCCAAAATTCTGAATTATCGGAGCAGCAGACGCATTGTATGGGCTGCTAGTTACAATTCTGGCAGCTCTATTTTGGATTTTTTGCAAGACGTCAAGCTTTGATTCATTACAGCAGCCCCAAACGGAACAACAGTAGCTCAAATGGGGCTCAACAATTCCTCTATACATTTTGTTGAGGATGTCAGATTGAAGATATTTCTTAGAATACTTAATAAGTCCAAGGGCTCGATTAGCCTTGGTCTTGATAGTATCGATATGCTTGTCCCAGTTGAGCTTACTGTCTATCTGAACACCTAAGTATCTTGTGTTGGTGATCATTTCAATGTCCTTTGAAATGATGTGGGGGGGGTCGCATTTTATGTTCAAAGTTATTTGGCGGGAGGGTTCCCATTACCGGGGCTCTAAATTATGAAGTTACATATGCTAAATTCTCAAAATGCACTTAAAATCAGTTTTTTATAGAAACCGTATCAACGGAACAAATGATTATGCAAAAAGTTTAGCAGCTAACATAATTGATATATCATACAAATTGATATATCCCCACACATCCTCAAACTTCAGCTGTGTTATTCGTTTTATATTCCAGTATAAATCGCAAAGTTTTGATTTTTTGAACTACAGTAATTAACACAAAAAACCAAAGTTAATTGGGTGGGGGGTTCTTATAAGAGCGGGAGGATTGGAAAAATTTTCAAAAATTAATTAGCGGGGGGAGGGGACGACAATTAGGCACCTAAACGTAGAATGCTTGATGTGGTCGCTATAACCTTTAAAATCTTATACCCTTCTGGTTTGTATTTCCTTTTTGAGAAAAAGTCCCAAAAATCATTTTGTCCGGAAATTTTCTTACTTTACAACTGATATGTGAAAATAAGATAGATGGTTGAATATTTTAATGTGCAATTCTGTACTGTAACAGTACAGTACAGTACAGTGCAGTACAGTGCAGTGCAGTACAGTGCAGTACAGTACAGTACAGTACAGTACAGTGCAGTGCAGTGCAGTACAGTACAGTGCAGTGCAGTACAGTACAGTACAGTGCAGTGCAGTGCAGTACAGTACAGTACAGTACAGTACAGTGCAGTGCAGTACAGTGCAGTACAGTGCAGTACAGTACAGTACAGTACAGTGCAGTGCAGTGCAGTGCAGTACAGTACAGTGCAGTACAGTGCAGTACAGTGCAGTGCAGTACAGTGCAGTACAGTACAGTACAGTACAGTACAGTGCAGTGCAGTACAGTACAGTACAGTGCAGTGCAGTGCAGTACAGTGCAGTACAGTACAGTGCAGTGCAGTACAGTACAGTACAGTACAGTGCAGTGCAGTACAGTACAGTGCAGTACAGTGCAGTACAGTGCAGTACAGTGCAGTGCAGTGCAGTGCAGTCCAGTGCAGTACAGTACAGTACAGTACAGTACAGTGCAGTACAGTACAGTACAGTACAGTACAGTACAGTACAGTACAGTACAGTGCAGTGCAGTGCAGTACAGTGCAGTGCAGTGCAGTGCAGTGCAGTGCAGTGCAGTACAGTACAGTACAGTACAGCGAAGGCCCAATGCAGTACAGTACAGTACAGCGAAGGCCCAATGCAGTACAGTACAGTACAGCGAAGGCCCAATGCAGTACAGTACAGTACAGCGAAGGCCCAATGCAGTACAGTACAGTACAGCGAAGGCCCAATGCAGTACAGTACAGTACAGCGAAGGCCCAATGCAGTACAGTACAGTACAGCGAAGGCCCAATGCAACTCAGATGGAGCCTTTTCTCCTTTTGTGGGAACACATTGACACATCTTGTAATATAATGATATGCCTTGATGTTAGGTACACAAAACATAAAACACAAAACACAAAACAAAACACACACAGTGTAAGTTTATAATGGATCGGTAACATGTCATGGCAATAGAATAAATCAGCATGTGCCTTCCAATGCATGAAGCAAGACCCTTCACTGGAGAGAACGGCCTCTTCTGAGTCTTGCAGATCTAACACATCAACCAAATCTTGTGATTCTGCCATTGGAAACCTCACTAGAAAAACCAGCTTGTGCTATAACTACCAAAGCGACATGTTTCGGAGAGCCCTGTCGTCTTTACATCTAGCAGTTTTAGAATCTATCTACATAAAAATGAAAATCCGCCATTGTGTAGACAGAAGAAGTTAGTTTTCATCCGTGGACTCCATTGGTAACACTTCTAGGCAAGCAGCAGAATGGGCAACCTAGACTGTCACGCCCGCGTATCTGATTGGCCTTTTTTGATGCACAACTGGGTATATATTTTCTTACTTTACACTTTCGACCATGATACTGATATTTGGTACTCTGAGAGTGTCCGACAAAAAGGCTTGGATATGCCTAAAAGGCATTTTGAAATTTCTTTTTGTTAAAAATTTGTCTCAGTTGTTTTGTTTGTATAAATAAATCAAAGAAACTATAATCAAATTTTGGCCTTCAAAGCTAGAGCTCTCCATGTTTTACGAAAAATGTCAACTCTATTTCCCATAAGCGTGGTTGTAGATTTGAGGATGTGACTGTAATCCAAATAAAAGATTAGCAAATCATATTCAACCTATTCATGCGATCTTCCCGTCTTCACTTGAATCATTTTTCAGTTGCATGTTTTTTCGACTGAGAGAATATTCTCGTGACACCAAAGGGACTTGTATCCCACATCCGAAAATATAAATACATTGCCTGTATTGACTCACTTTGTTTCAATATTGTGTAGGTTTTTTGCTCTGTCTTATATTTACAACAACCAGATTCAAAGGTAATATTTAGCAGAGCTTCATGTCAATCCATTCTGATGTAATTTGTCATATTTTTAGCCATGCACTGATATTATTTTGTTTTAATCGTCTTCCTCGGTTAGCCTTGAAATTGTCCCAGCCAAAAGTTTTCTAGGAAAGCCCTCTTGTTTGTTACTATAACGAACTTTTATTTCAAGCAGTGTTTCTGTTGTTCTGATCTAAGCATCGGAGGATGGTTGTATTATCTCTTTGGATCTCCTGCTCCCAAAAACACGGTGGCCTACGCTGATGGATTTTACCGGATCTACCCTGCGTTTTCTCTTTTCTCTCCCTCCAGCCTCCGCTTTGCCTTAAAATATTTGAGTCGTGATGAAAAGGAGGGTATCTCCATCCTAAAAAAATACGCTGTCGTGATATTTTGCTGCAATACTTTTGATGGACTTGATCTGATCGCATGAAGTTGCCTCGCTCTCATTTTGAAACCAGGTATCGCCAACGACCAGTTATAAATAATGGCTTGCTATAGTGACCTAAACCGAAAGCAAATGACTCCCTGCAGCCGGGGCTCCAAGTTGGAAAGAAGGGGCCTAAGGGCAATTTAAGGAAACATAACAACAGATTTTGCACAAAAGCTCTATTGCTTTGCAGATAGTGAGGGACCATGACCCCCCGTGGTTAGAGGCCCTGTGCAGAGGAAGGCAATGGCTAAATACCTTAAACGCAGATCCCGTTGCTTGCGAATGATCGCTTTCTGGACACAATCAATGAACATGTCTGACATTACACACTTTCCAATGTTAGCAACTGGCGTGGTCTTCAGTTGACTCTTTCGACTTTGGCGGCGGTTCCACTCAATTGTTGCCAAAGTCAAAAAAATTAATTTGCTTCAAAACATCATGGATCTTAATGTACTTGAAATGGACCTCAGCCATTACAAAATCGATTCAGAAATTATGCTTTTTATGTTTGGCAAGGGTAAAAGATTTTGGGAAAACGAAACTATTTATCTTTTGAAGGAGACATTCCAAATGAATTACGTTCTACAGGCTGCTTTCCAAGCTTTCCAGGGATATTGGAATTAGTCCTCTGATTTTAAAAGCAAATATAGTAAACCAAACTCGGCAATCTTTGAAATGTTGTAATATTGTTTTTGTTGCGTTGTCCTTCTCTAAGCGCGCACAATATCTTATCAAATTGAAAACTTGTATCTTTACAACCATGTAATTCGATAGAAACGAAAAGAAGCCGCTTGTAGAGAATAAGGAAATTAATTTCATTCGAAGCATTCATATTTCGTTCATTATCCTGCCCTCATCTGTAATAAAAACATTGAATGAATTCGGTGCAATTTTTGTCATTAAACAATGCTTGCTTTTATCCCTTTATCCTCGCAGGCTTGTGTTAGAATTGGTTATTGGTATCTTTTCAACAAAGGGGATTTGCCCATCTTCAGGCATATTTTTTAATAAGTTGGTGTGCCATAGATGTAAAGTAATGATTAGAATTTTCAATTAACGGTTGATCTAAGTACATCCGTCCACATTTGATACTGGTTTAGCATTTTTAGATTGATTAAAATTTCGACTGAGGAAGGGAATGCTGGTTGAGAATAAGAAGCGAGCCATCTATTGGTATCAGCATGTAATAAAGAATGCTAAAATGTCCCCTTTTCTCCCCCAAAAATAGTGCGCTTTAGAAACTGGCATTTTTGCTTTAACAGATGTTAACAAAGATAATTTTTTATATTTTGCTTTGTGTTTTCAACAGGACCCATCTAACAAGCAATTCGTTATTTGTGACGAGGAACTCTACAAGATATTCGGTACGTTCTATAAGACATTTTATCCTCTATTGACTTAATTTGTATCTGCTAATTGACAAATCTTGCTTTTTAAAACACGAAGTAAGTATCTTGATGGTAATATACAAGATTTTGGTTTACTTTGAAGAAAGAAGTAATAATGCGTTACTGGCAGCTATTTGTCAGCGAAAAAGTTACCACTCTATTATTTTGGGGTACAAATTTTAAAGATTGCTTTGAAAAAACCAACATTCAAACACTTTTTTCCGACACTCTTAGGAGTATAGAATGTTAGAATAATGGAATAAATTATATGAACCCATTTGTGGATCGAAATAGGCCATACAGGAACGTTGCCATATGCCTGTTGCCCAATCAGTGCCAATTGCCTATAGAGTTTTCCATCAGTATCCTACAGCTGGTCGTTTTATTTTCTGTTGAGTGTCGGATGAAAAGATAAAGTACGCCTCCGAATTAGTACTTTTTCAAAGCCATGTTTAACATTCCCCTTGCTACCATGCATTCATTGGGTTATTTAGTATAATACTGCCAAACGTACCCACCGTGCCTGTTTACCAGCCTTGTAAACGACATCCGCTTTTTGAATTCCTTTTTTGAAAGTCTTTGCCCATGTAAACCAATGTTTAATTAAAGAGGGAACATAATTAGGAATTTTAATGAAGCAAGATGGAGTGAAATTAGGCTTTTGTAGCCTGCACAACTTTCAGTGTAAACAGATGATGGAATAAAGATGTTAACACAAAACATTTTAGACCGCCCTTAATCTAAATTTGTGGACATCTCCTCAGCCTCTGTGCATTATTTCTAGCTTAGCGTTTTTCTTGTTTTTGCAGGTGTAAAGAGATTTCGTGCTTTTGGAATGATGAAATATCTCAAGCACCACGTGAAAGATCCCAAACTTATTCAAGAAAGCAGATGAGAGTTCTAACATGGTACTTGACTTCATTAAAAAGGTTCAGTGCATCTTATGTTGATAGCCTATTTAATAATAGAAAATATTTCTGAATGGAGTAGCCATGGCTTTTTCTAAGTAGAAGTTAATGCACGAAATGTTCGATCGCCTTTGTTGAGCCTTGCTTCATCATTGGCAGTTCCGTTTCGAAAGTTTGCTTCGGGCTTTCAGGAAGGGCGAGCCCAGTGACGTCAAATGATGTCATTTTCCTTTCACAGTTGCTTCATTCTACTTTTCAAGAATTTGACTTCTTACACAACAAACGAGAGCCTTTTTACCGTTCTCGTGTATGATAAGTGCCTTTTAAACCGTTATCTCATTTGAAGAATTAGAGCCAACATGAGATTAAGAACTATTTATCAATTTATATAGATGGTCAATATTTACGGAATATTGCTAAAAGATTTTTATTGTATTTAAGCTTTATAGAAAGCGAATTGATACCTATCATTCTGTAGTGCTGCTTTCTACTTTTGCGTTTTTAATAAATCGCTGAATTTTTCGAATGTCAAGTCTTTGTAACTTATCAAGAAATGAAAAACTTGCCGAATATTGAAAATTTTTATTTGCCTCTTGATATTAAACTGATATTAAAGAACTTTTGAAGAAATTTGAAAATAGCAAGGAAAAGCGGAAACATGTCATGAAGTACTTTTCGTCTTCGTCCGACGCCCATCAGAGTCGGAACATTGTTATTGATCAAAGAATATAAGTGCCTCTCGATGCCTAATGCCTGACGGCTGAATCGCAAATAATTAGCAAGCAATCATGCAGTCCTTCCTTGGCACATATTCACACAATCGACAGAAAGTTGTCAGTCAATGCTACCTAAGCTGCAGATCGATGTCAGCGTAAATCCTATCTCGGCAAACTAGTATACCTGTCTACCTGGTTAGTCTGCTTCTGTATAATCAGGCCCTAAAACTCTGGCTCGGGTTCATTTTTCCACTCATTCATAACAGCTGAAACACTAAGCCTGAAATTCCTAACTGCATATCATAAACCATATGAATGGGGACGGTTTCACTTCTCTCTTTTGCGTCACACTGTCAAATTATGGCCGAGCTGCGTAGGTTTCGGTATTCGACGTTTGTTTTTAACTTTTCCCTGTCGCTTTCTGTATACATTTCTCGCAACAAATATGTCACTGGTCAGGTAAACATGCAAGAGCTACCATCCAAAGTAGCTATGTTTTGCTTCGTGTTTCACAACAGTTCACAAAAATAAGCTTCAAATGACAAGATCTATGTTGCACCTTTTGACATATTTATCAAACATATCATATTTTGGTGTGACATTTACACAAGCACATATGGCTTGTGCATCGCTTTCTGTTGAGTATTTCGTCCTTTTATTTGACCTGGCCTAAGTCCAGTTATTGTTTGAAACAGGGTCCCTACCTTTTCACCCTATTTAGATGCAATCTCTTAATCTTTTCAGAAATTTAAACTGAATGAATCGTGTTTTTTACAACTGGAAAACTGTTCGGTCTCATTTGGGATGCACACTGCTATAAAAGAAGCTCTTTTGAATCATAAAAAAGGGTGTGAAATCACTTGAACTTTGCAACGCATGTTCTTCAAATGTTTAATTCAGTGTTGTGCCGTCAGTCTCGGAGAGCCTTTTCACCACTTGCTGTTTTTTCAAAACAAGCAAGTGGTGTTCGCTCTTTCAAAAAAATAAAGGTCAATTGTCATTTTTGCTACTAGGGTTTTCTATGAATTTTCGACTAAACATTGATCTTCGTAGCTGCGACATATCTCTCATGCCAAACGTGTTTGACCCGACTTCCATCACTGGTATGTCCGCGCGCAGAACGATATGACAACCGTTTTGACACCTCTCGACATTAGAACCAGATTTTTGACAGGTCATTCCGTCATAGCTTCTGTGTGTTTTATAGGAAAGAAGTCTGCGGAAAGCCGACATTTTCCATGTAACTGTTTTTCAGTAACCAAGCGAGGAAACGAACTATTTCTATGTACATAACTCAGATTTTTTTGTTTTATGCGTAAAGATTACAAAACGCTTAAATGAAGTATGTAAGGGGTTAGCGGTTGCCAATTGATCGAAACAGAGAACCAATCAAACTTGCCATTCTTCTTCTCACATTATTTTCGATTTTATGCGTTCTGTTTTCGCTTTCTGGAAAGGCTTAAAACTTCGTATTGACTTCCTAAATTAACTCTTGTAGCGTTGTACGCGTCACTGTCGCGTTCTTTTCCGTATCCACTCCACTAGTTTATTCCTTTATACATCGATTCATTCCATTTTGTATCTCATGTATGGATAGTTATTAGTGCATCCATATAGAAGCAGACTCAGAAACTTTGAATGAAAACAAAGCGATTTACATCACCATCACATATTTTATCGGCTGTCTTATTATAGTGACCGTTTGTTGATTTGTCTCATGCTGCCTAATGACCTTATTCACCTTGTTTTATTTTCAATGCATCAGCCCCGTATACTCTTGCCTGTGAGTTTTATTCGTGCAGAGTTAGATTTTTCAGCCTCGATACAGCAAATTAGTCCCGGAAAATAACAGTAATATGACATCATGTGACAGTACTACAATTTCCTAAACCGGGCTTCTACATTTGCAAAAAAGCACCCTATTTTCAGCGACTCTCTTCTAGAGGTTTGGCACTAGCCCCCACTTAAATTAGTTTGTCGTTTTGCTTTAAGTCGTCATTTTTTGTGATCGATGTAAATATAGGGGCAGAGGTATTTTTTCTTTCTTTCGACCTTAATGTAGAATTGGTTTTCTCTGTTTTTTTCCCTTTATCTATCCGGGCTTTTTGTCCAAGTGATGTTTTAACTCAGGGAAATTGTTATGAAAAACTAAGCTAGTGGCTAATACCAAATCTGACTTCAGAATGTGGTTGTACATCGGTAATTGATGAACTGACTGATTGGTTGATTTTATTTAGACACACTACTCTAGGCCCTCTAGCAAAAAGCTGGATGCCGGATCTCCTAACGGCATAAGATTGCATAACAGCGCCCAATACCATCAGGCTGGGGTTGGAATTGCACACTTTTTTCAGCTTTCTGACAAACTGTGCTTGTCTTTTTATGTCCCTCCCCTCAATTATCGCCAAATGCACACAGATCTCTAGTTTAAAATGAGATTACTGCCCTGCCACATTATGGTGCTTATATGAGACACAACCTCGCTTCCTTTGATTTCACACATTGTAAGAAAAAAAGGTATAATAGATTATATTCGTGTAATGATTTCAAGAAAATTTCTTCGTCTGTTATATTACTGATGATTCAATTACTGATAAAATTCGTTCGTATTTTGGCTAACAATTTACATGGATGCTCAGAAAGCAGCACTCGCTATTAGTCTATTTGGAGAGAAAAGTTGGCGATAGTTCTTTCCAAAAGTAAAAGACTTGCTTTACTAAAAACACAAGTTCCAATCAGTGGCGGGGTGGCTATGTTTTTCCTGGGGTGGCCAAGTCGATTTTTGCTCCCTTTCTATATAACGTGGTATATAACGTTGTTATATAAAAGCACTTGTTTCTAGAAGAAAAATCAATTTTTGCAACTTGAGTTCAAAATTCCATGAATGAAATTTGACTAAAATTTCGAGTATGAATGAAAAAATTGTGTAATCAGTACAAAAGTTAAGATGACCTTCTCGATTGTGGTTCGGTAAAATGTCCAGCAATTTCGAACTGGCTTATATTCGAGGGTCGGCCTATTTTCGAAGAAATACGGTAGGCAAAGCATAAAATACTAATCAAAAGACATTCTATTCCATTACATTGATGTTACATACAGGCTGCCGGGCCCTTGAACTCGTTTATTACAGTATATCCAGAATAACAGCTTCAGAGTGAAATAACGTAGAGCAAATTTCTGTTTGGGGCTCCTCAGATTTTTAACTAAAAGTAGCCATAGTCTTTTTACTATTTACGGCATTGCTTATGGGGGATTTTATCAAAATTGAATCTGGGGGCTAAGAATAAAGTTTTGTGAAAAAAAATGATCAAGCCTCCTAGAATGGCTAAAAATGCATCTCCCAGACAAAAATTCAACAAATTACTATACCGCTCAGAATAGACAATTTGACGATTCTCAGAAAAACATTGATTATTGATTTTTAGAAAAAATTTGGGAGGAGAGGATTCATTCGTTGCTTCAGAGTGCAGATCGATGTAAATAGCAAGAAGCTGTTGTATTGATGGTCAGGGTGCATTCCATTTACTTAAGCCCAAAAATCTTCGGCGTACACTCAGGTTTTGATGTCAGCTCAATTTATGAGCTGAAGAGTGTTGTGAACTCTTATTTAGAGGAGGTATTTTTCAATTTTTTTAGCCTATGGAGCAAAACTTATTGAAAGCATTTACATTTCGCAGTATTTTCGACTGCCTATCGCAAAGAGGTGATTAGAAATTCTGACCAACTTAGAGTTTAAAATCGAGGCGTTGAAACTGCTGGAACGTTAGAAAGAAAAAATTAAGAGAAATTATGAAAAGACCGAAGAAGCACCAGCTCAGCCAGTGAAGATAGTTAAGACGACCTGGGTAGAGCTCTATGTACTCTACTCGTGTACGAAGTTCCTAGCCAAATATTTCAAGCCAACAATTCTGGCGCCCCCTTATCTCCAATTGCGCCCATATTCAGGGGGACCATGGCCCCCCTGGCCCCTTGCCACCACGCCACTGGTAAACATGACTTTTCAGGGCCTCCGACGAAGGGGGGGGGGGCGGGGGGGCATGGTCCTCTCACTTTTTTGCAAAACAGTAGAGCTTTTTTCAAAAACGTTTGTTGTGATTGTTATATTTTTTCTTGGCCCCTCCACTTTCCAACCTGCGTCGGAGCCCATGCTTTTCAATCGCGTTTATTTCTTAATTCGAGCTTAGCTCCATTTTTGTTGTACTGTCCCCTTCGTCCGTGTTTTGCCAGAAGCTGGGATTGTTCGGCTTCTTGCGGCTATGCTTTGCGTTCTGACCATCTGACACTAGTCTTTTCTCTCTGTTCATTCTTAGCAAATAACAAGCAAATCATATTTCGCACCCTCAAACAACTTGGTTGCGAAAATGCGGTGCAAAGCATACTCCTGTAGATTCGACAAACCATTATTTCATTTTGTGGGTTCGAATTCTTGCGAATGCTGTGATGATGTTGTGCCCAATAGTCTGAAATTGGCTTTTTAATTACATTTTATATTTTACAATCTTAAGTAAAGATATTAATTCCTCTTTTGGGGATATTTTCGGATATTTGCGTAAGTACATTATACAATTTCATTGTTGAACAGGAGCATGCGGTATATTCACAAGTAGTACCAAGTTTTGTTGGGGTTTTGTTGGCAGGCAATCAGCCATTTCTATGGACGACCGTGGGTGCGTAACCGTCCAAAATAATATGGTTCATTCTGTTCCCACTGCTGCCCTCTTTGATCAGGAAAAGTGCCCTAGAGAATACGGCAA